TATATTAGTATCGTAAGCACAACAAAGAGAAGAGTCGGCTGAGGAAAGACAGCTAATTATTGACACTCTCCTGATGTCCATTTTTCTACCAACGCCGATTAAATCTTGAATTAAAACTTTGTTGTTCAGATCTCTATTTAATCTAGAGAAACGTGGTTTTTTTTAGATTGTCAGTAACTAAGTAAGGGGATGTCAATAATTGCATGTTTTAGTCTACTCTTCCGCTTTGAGCAGCGCTTACTGCCTCGCCGAAACGCGCTCGTCTTCCTCGCTTAATTTTTCATGTTGCGATCATAAAGGGAGCATGTAAAGAGGAGGAGAGCTTGTAAATCTTCCGACGAGGCTCGTTTCGCCGCTTTTAATCCGTTCAGAAGCATACGGGGTTAAGGATCGCGGCTCATCGTGGCGAATCGATCTGTTCACGAGAACAGATTCGCCAACAGCCGCCGCGATCATCCCTTCCGCGTACAAACGGAGGTTGCATGGATATCACGGGGAACATATGTGCCCACCCCAAGGACGCATAACGCGGCCGTCGACTTCATAGGATACGTATCGCGCGGACCACCTGCTACGCAGCGAGAGCCTTCCACTCGAGGCATAATCGCGTTGCACGGGAGCGTATCGACGATTCGCGCCGCTTCTTCGACGATAAGCTTCTCGAGGAAATCGTTACGAGTATTAATTATTGCGATCTCGTTCGAATGTGCTTGTACGTGCATGCAACGTGCTTGCACTTCTGCGCGTTGTTCTCGCTGAGGCAACGCGAAAAATCCGTTCGTCGATCGAAAAGCTGAAAAAACAATATGACTAGGGGAAAGGGAGGAGGGGGAAGGGTATGTTTATTTTTCGGGATCGCGCCTGTCGAACAAAAGTCACCCTCCGTAACGTTTTACCTCGTCGAATTACTTCACAATAGGCAGCGCGACCCCTTTCGGACTTCGGTCTCTCCCCCTCGCGAGACACCCTCTCCTCGCACACAAAACATAATTATCTGAAATCTCAAACAGCATGAAAATTTTATCGGCGCCCCCTGGCTCTCCCTCCCTTCCCCCCTCCATCGATAGACGCGGTCCATTAGAACATTGGGTGATGATTAATGTTTCCGTAACGAAGACCCGCTCTTGAATTTCTTTTCGAAATTCTTTTGAATTTCGCGACCCTCCCACTAACGAGATTCCGTCGAGTGATAGTGCTTTTGTGCTATTTGCGTCACGCTAAGCTTTGCCTCTCGGATATCCACCCTTTCTTTTTTTCCTCATCTCTCTTTCTATCTCGTCTGGTGCGTTCTTTTTGCTTCACATAGAAACATACGTGATTAACTTTTGATTTTACTGAAGTTTATTTCCAATGTATTCCTTTTTTTGCTCCTTCGCTTTAGGGATTATTACTCTATTTTATAAACACATGTTGTATGTCTGAAGGGATCTTAGAGCTTCTATGGGTTTAAATATATCTACCTACCTATCTATCTATCTCTTGGAAATAATTCGTCGAAGTTTTCCGAATCAAAGCTTATCGCTTATATAACGCAGCGAAAGGACTTTGTTACGTAGCCGTCATGTTAACAAATACGACACGCTCACGGAAAGGACGCGATGTTATCTCATCGGCACACTCGGAAATAAATACCTCATCGTATCGCCTTGTGTATGTGCGCGAAGGGCACCCCATCCGCACACATATAATAATACCCGACAGGAAATTGCTTCAAGTGGTAACTCTCAATTTCTGACTCCGCGCGAATCTCCTTACGAGCGAACCGTCCGTCACACTATTTGTTGCTTTGTAAACGGCTAGATAAAAACTAATCAATTACGGGCTTTTACGCGAGGAAAAGACAGACAGACGGACAAAGAGAGAGAGAGAGAGAGAGAGAGAGAGAGAGAGAGAGAGAGAGAAACGGGAGGAAGCACTACTTTAACACGTAAGTATGTCCTTTTAAACGCACTCTGGTTCGCAGAGCGTAGCACATACTTGTACATACGTCGAGGTAATCGCCGAGAGATGCACGAGCCGCGATAGGAGCTGCCTCGAAGCGGCAGTTAAAGTCGATTATACCGTGACGTTCGTGCTGGGCGCGACATGAAATATTTATATTATCGTGACGATTATTACGTCACGTAACCGCAGACGAGAACGACGATGATTACATTTACCTTTGCTGGCCGCGGGACAGTGCGCGGAAAGGGGAATCGTTCGCCGCCATCAGTTAACAATGTTCGTTACGTTGGCGATGTATTAGCGTCGCCGTCGCGAATCGAGCCGCGGTTCGTCAGGACGGAAAATCCACGGGAATTTCACACGACCTCTACGATGTCGACGAACGTTGCGAGTTCAAAATACGAATGGCGCGATTAGTCGCGCGTTTCCCTCGCGATTGCTCCTTCAACGATCTCTTTGATAGCGGCCAAACCGGACGTGAAGTTCTCACGATACAATTCGAATTACGCAGCGAAGCGCGGTTTACGTCCTCGTCATCTTTGGTCAGGAAATTTCATTTTGAAGACACCAGTAACGTCTAACCTATCTATTTACGCGTTTATCGAGTTAGCGACATGCGTTTCTCTCACGTTTGCTTCTTCAACGAAATCTTTCGTTCCGGTTGAGCTGATCGTCAAGCTCTCACGATTGCGACACAATTCGGATTACAAAGCGAAGCATCGTTTACATCCGCGTGACCTTTGTTCGGGAAATTTCATTCTGAAGAGTCTCGTGACGCTCAGTCCGTCTGTTTACGCGATTAACTTGTCTCCGCTGTGCTTCGCACTCGCGAAGGGCGTCTAACGGACGCGAAGCGATTACGGGCCGCTCTGTTTTCCCGAAGGGTAGCAGGGAGACGGAAGGATAACTCGTGCAAACCGTGTATAACTTATATGAAGTTCGCGACGGGGTAGGCAGAGTCCTCGTTTCCTATTCCGTAACGCGTTTAAGCTAACGAGAACCGGCGTGCGTTATGCGGAAAGCACGGTCGCAGTTATCGTTAAAAATGCATCCTTGCGTGCGCCGCTCTTCCGCCGCCGCCGCCGCCGCAGCAGTCTCTGTCCTTTTTTCACGCCTGCGTCACACGGCGACACGCACGAAATCGGTGAGCCGCGACATATGCTGATTTTTAAATAACGTGCCTCGCGGACAGGTGACCCGCGGCGGCGAATCGCTGTAAACAACATCACGGCTGCTCGAAACGATCGCTTGTCAAATTTCGCGCTTGTTACGCGCGAAAGAGCGACGGCGACCAATCGCCGTCGTTGCGACGTCACAGCCGTCCGACATTCTCGCGGAGGATGCACTTTTTTTTTTATTAGAAAGGCGATCCCCGAGCTTCACCGACGCTCGTCACGAAGCGTCAGCAAGAATCTCGTAAGCGCGCTCGCCGGAACGCTAAATATCGCGCGTATTATGGGCGACGCCGTTTCCGGGGCTCCCCGGGGACTAGTAATCCCCCTTCTTCGGACATTAAAACGGTAAACGCGCGATTCCGTGACTTTTTAATCGCCCAACCAGGTCGACGCGAAGCAAACGCTCATTTCGTTCTTGCTCCAACTAGCGAGTCGAGTCGAGCCGAGTCGAGTGAATAATTCACCTCGATCGATCGCTGGCTAGCTGACTGGCAGGCTGGCTGGCTGGCTGGCTAGCCAGCACGCTCGGCGGAATTAATTTAAGTAATTTGACGATCGCTATCGACGGAAGCATTAAATAAAGCACCGTGTCCCGCTTTGGGCGAGAGCCGCGCGTTTAGATTGTTACGTAGATCAGCGCGAACGCGCGCGACCGGCCGCCTTCGCGTTTTTCCCGCGGCCATCGTTGCATACCTGAGTGGTTGATCAGGATGAGTGGGTCGTCATCCATTTCCACAGCTGTCATTACGTCAAGGAGCCGCGACATATCGCGGCTGTTTGCCGAGCCGTTTCGCCCCCTTCACGTCCGCCCGCTTGCCCACCTGTCGCCACGAAAATGACGATTCCCGCTGCTGTTTTCAGACGAGCGCTTCCGCGACGATATTATTACATTGCGAGCTCGCCTCGTCTCGCGTCTACGGCCGATCGAACGTCGGCTGAACTCCTTAACGTTGAAGGGAGATCAACATGCATTGTTCCGAAAGAGAAGAAGTAAGATAGAAGTACTTGAACTCTAACTCTGACATTCCTATTTTTGGTCTCTAAACACGAATATTTACATTTCCAACGTGGAACATACATACATATGTTGAATATGTACGTATATTCTATGTTAAAACATTTAAATGTTCGTATGTAAAGACCAAAACAATAAGAATGTCTAGGTTTAGGTACGTATCCAGATATCGGTCCAGACTTTTATCTTAAATTTGGTGCGATTTTCCGAAAATAGGTCCGTATTAATAATTGCTTGTGAAACTCGTTTCAAGCAAGGCGTTCAGGTTTAAATTCAGAGTTAAATGAGAGTTTGTCGAAACTGAATCGCGACTGCAGATATAAATATCACACTAATTCAACTAAAAAATTTGGATCTGACTCTAAATAAAAATCTGAGTATTTTATCTGAGACAAGTTTCAAATGACGACTATAATTCCGAAATCCTAATACAGAGAAAATCTCCCAGTTGTTATTGTTATTTCCGGAAATTTGTGTTCTCCGATATATTATCTCGTGTTGATTTCGATATTGTACCTTCCCGAGGCAATTGAACGCTTCCCATGTTTCGAGAAAGTTGCATTTGCATTTCGGGAGATTGTATCGGTATTGTGATTTTTCAGGAGTTCGTCTCACTTCTCGAATCTCGAGATTTCGATTTTTCAGTAGAATGTGTATCTACTCGAATAAAGAACGATTGTTTGCCTAATGGAGAATCACTTTTGAGTCACAAGCCGCGATTATTCTGCCGCCAATTGATGTTTGTCTTGCAACGCTTTTCAAGTTTGAAATATCATTGTTATAATCGTAACTCGAATGGTATGTAACGGAGTCGCGACAACGTCGATTTCATCTGGATCTTACGCGTAACTCGGTATTCGTTACAGGAACGGGAGGCGGAGAAGATCGCGGAGGAAACCGCGGCTCTGCGCGACGTGAAGACAGAATTGCCGCCGGCGAGGAGTCCAGAGAGCTGGCACAGCAACCCTTACTATCGACATCTCAGTGTTCTCAAGGGTGAGCGAGAGATATCGTGCGAATTAGCTCGTAGACGGAGAGCGCGAGCGGGAAGCCTCGTCGAGTCGGAGCGGCTAGACTAACGCGAAGGCTCCAACCGTGCTCGTGACGCCGAATCGAATCGGTAATTAGACCATACAAAACTCTCCCCGCGAGTTGAAGAAAGTCTCGAATTCTCTTCGCGTTTCTCTCTTTGAGATTCGCATTACGATTATCGCGCTTGCGAGCTGTGAACACTAACGGATGGAAAAGAATTCCTGACACTTCCATCGGAAGACGACGCTTCCACTCGACGTCAGTTGTAACTCCACAAACGAACGCTCTTCCGCGATGCCGTTCGAGACGCTCTCCTCGGCTCGTGATCGCAGGAAATCGTCCCGAGGGTATTTTCGCGAACAGCCGCGTCCAGGGCGAGGGGTCGTCGTGAATCGTCCCATTGATATTAGTAATTAATTAGTAACTGCCGTGGATCAAGCGGCCCGCCGAGAAGATCGGAGTTCCAATTAATTAGAATAATTAGTCGCGACCGGAGTGTTAAATGGAAGCGGAGGGTTGCCTTGATATCAAACTGGCGGAGAGGGGTGGATCTTCCAGTCTGTAATAACGCGGAAATGGGTTGCGGGTGGCCTCCACCAACCAAGGGGCGTGATTTTCGCCTACGCTTGCGCGTACCCTGTCCCTATGCTAGTGGACGTCGAACTCCGTCGTCGTGACTCGCGAACGCCATGCGACGCGGCGTGACGCGACGCGACGCGTCACGTCACCGTATGTGTATATGTACGCCGCGTTTTCTTCTAATTTCCATTTACGGCAGTCGACGCGGCGAGTGGCTGGTTACACAGCACACGGATAGACACAGAAGGGATAAATTGAGGATCGTTCTTACACATCAACGTTATATATCAACGTTAATTATTAGACGCTCCTTGATTAATAAGTTTGCAGAATTCTCGTGTTTCCCGTTGACGTAATTTCCCGTCTGCGTGTATCACGGCGAGAGAGAGAGAGAGAGAGAGAGAGACGAGTTTCTTGAATAAGTGAATTTTTCGCTGAAATTTCTCGGAATATTTTCCTCAGTCGGTAACGACCGGCAAGATGCGCGACATCTAAGCGCAGAGAGCACATTAATTAGGGAACCTTCCCTTATTAATGAATTTCCAGAATTTCCATGTTCCACGCGATTTTCCATCTCTGCGGATCTCGACGAGGCGAATTTCTTAAATGGGACAATTTTTTTTTTCGTTGAAACTGTTCGAAATATTCTTCCCGTCGATAACGACAGGCAAAATGCGCGACGACACAACATGTAAGCACAGAGAGTACATTCGCAAATACATGCGCCTGTGTCAGAACACGAGACGCTTGCACACTTTCTCTCACAGCCAGACTCCTGTATGCATATGTACACACATGCACACACACATACACACATACACGTGTGCGTGCACGTGCCTCACCCGGTATATCAATGGAACCAGCCATTCAACGCGAGCGTAAGCCGAAAATAACGAGATAGGTGCTGCCTCCACGCGATGAATGCGGATACAGGATCATTGGCGGTGAACGCCAGACACTTTGACTAACGTACAGCCCTCGGAAAAAGTTCGCGTTTTTGCGACCTGCTTCGTTTCCTTCCGTCCGTCCTGCGAGAACGAGGCGACCGTGAGATCCTTTCAGAGAGCCTCTTTGAAGCTGTCCACGTGAGATCCCAAGTCAAGACCCTCCCGTCTGCTGACTCAATGAAACGCCGCGTTCGCGAGTCAAACGGGATGAAACTAATTAGCACGTGACACTCGTTTATTTAGGTCAGGCTTCCTTCTCGTCTTAATAATCTCGATGATCCTTCAATTCTTACTGCTTCGATAACCTCGCGACCCGCGACTCCTTCGACTGACCAGGAGTTATACGCCTCTACTATTTGATTTCTGTTATTTAAATCTCTCGAAGTGAAACTTTATTCGAAAGGTTAAATAACAGCCAAGTCCGTGACGGATTAATATCGCATAACGCGACGTGTCCGTCGGCGCTCACGCGCGGTGATCGACTCCGCTAATTACCGGACGATAATTATTGCAGGAAACGAGCCGGCGGCGGAAAGGGCGGGTTCCGACTGCTCGGCTTGCCGTCCACGTATGTTTTACGGCCAAGTCCACAGTCCGTCCGCGCCGACCAATTAATCGAGCTGGCTGGATTAATCGACATCATGCAGCAGCAGCGCATGAGGAGGACACATTTAATCCGTACCGTTCCGTAAGCTTCCGTAAGCGATACGTCCGTTGCCTTAAAGCGCATTCGTCGATCTTTCTTTACGAATTTAAGGCTTCAGCGCAACGATGCTCTTGCCTCGGTGTCTTAAGGGCCTGAGAAAGTTAGCCCTCGAACCTGGGCGACGCTTCTTTCGAGCAATCAAATGTAAATTCATTTAGCCGATTAATCGATCGAAGCTTAAACCGGCTCGAGTCAATTGAATCTGATATATAACCGACTTAAGCCTCCAATATATGAAATATTTTCTTCCTCAATATTAGGTTGTCGAATTTTCAAATTTATTTTCTTCAGCTGTGTTAAGAGAGTACGTTAACTCGCTGTTACACTGAACCTCCGATTTATAACTCGCTTCACGTTCACGCGGTATCGCTGAGATCGTGGGCCCGATCCGTAGTTGCGAAGGCCAGATCCGCCAAAATGTTGGTAGCGAACGTTAGGAAATGTTTTGTCCCGGGCGTTCGCGACACCAGCGAGAAGCGAACGTCAATTTTGTCGGATCGTCGAGCGGTAGGTTTCACCTCGGGTAATGAGTTTTTGCCGGCAGGACAATTCTCGTTCTAGCGAACGCGTCTTGTCCTTTTCATGCGAGCAAGCGAGCGAGTGAGCGAATCGATGAGCTCGAATCGAGAAGCTCGCGAGTATTCGTCGAGGATGTAGAGCGGCTAGGACAACGCTCGCCGGAGAAGATGTCATTACGTCGGCGAAGCGAAGGAGAGGAGGTCACGTCGATATTTGCGTCGATTCCGGAGGTGCTGCGGAGCGAATTCGCTCATCTGGTTCCGCATTACGTCGATTGTCGTGATTTCCCAGCGAGTACTCACGGTACACAACGAGCGCACTTACGCGACGGACGAGCGCGAATAAACGAAGACGTTCGTTGCGATCTCGCGGAAACACACCGTCTGAGATTTAATTCCGCGCGTTCGACTGTTTCTTCCGCGACGAGGGAGAAGACGGGAGACTGTATTCCGGCTTCTGTGAACACATCACGTTTGGCGATTCTGGTGTCCTTGAGCCGGTCCTACGCGATACGTGAGGCAATACATTGGCCCGCAGTTTGAGGAATACATTGACCGCGAATACTATGCCAATATAAAGCTTGATAACATAGCAAAGTTTAATACGTTGACTGCTACGGCAATTTTCAGGATTCCGATCTCAGAAGCCAATTTGATTTAATCATATGGACAGACCATGAAAGAACTGCGAGATAAATCGTAGTTCGCGCTCTAGCCAAGAAGGCCAACTACGATTTACCTCGCAGTCAACGTGTTAATAACATAAGCAAAGAACAGCTACAGAATTCAAACACGGTAAATGTCAACATAACCGGTCATGATCATTGGCCAATATCGATATACACTTGCCGTATCGCGTGATGCCGGCTTGAACCCTTTCCACAGTCCGGATTCTATTAGATATGTATCACCACGAAGTGTGTTGCTGTACACAAGAAAGAGCGAGCACATTTGTTGTTCTCTTTCTTCTCTCTGTTTCGTTTGTAGCACTTTCTCGAGTGCAGGAATAGCAACGTCAAGTAGCACACGAGTGCTGCTCGAGGGATGCTTGGAATGCGGGAGTTCTATCTCCTGATAAACCAGGTCAGCGCGAAAAGAAACGTGGGAAATATGTCAGTCGGTGAGGGTGAAATGGAGAGGGTTAATGCGACTAACGAGACTCACGTCGTGCTTGCGAGCACGACATCCAGATATCTATTCGCGGTGAATCGTGCACTCGTGATAGTTGGTGCACCATGAGCGATGCAACCAACATGCGTCCGTGACGAGCTCGATATATTGTGAGCCAACTCGCAACGATTTACTGCGATTTCGCCAAGAGACTCGGTCGCGACGCTGCCGCCGTCGCGGTCGCCGCGATCGAGAGCAGTCGGTGTAGCTTAGGATCGACGATTATTTGTCGCAAGGACGATATTACACAGTGCAATTATACTTAATTATGTCGAATTATGCGGAGACGACGACGACGAGCCGGACAGGACGAGGGGATCCTTCGCGCGCCTCATCGAGTACTGCCGCAGCTGTAAGTACCGTCGCTAGTAGAGTAACGACACCAAATTGCATCATACTGAACATACTTGTAGACGACAGCGTGTGTGAAAAACCACGAGTGTAATCCAAGTTCTAATAAAATCTTGATTGCTGGGAGGAGAGCGTACGTGTATCGATAAAATCACTCCTGTCCCGCCGCGCCGTCGTGCGAAGGAAAATCAATTTTGGAGGGAAGTTATTCCACTTTGCCACTGCTATTTTAATTGGAAATTACCACTTGACATTATATCTGTTCGATATAGTCGCGCTCATGCAATCTTTTCGTATTGATAACGTCATATAAGCTATGGAGACGCTGTTGAGTTTTGATACGATAATAGTTAACTTCTTAGGTACGCCACTATAGTGGCTTTCGCGTATGTCATCTTTTTAAACGGTACGCCACTATAGTGGCTCATTCTTATTTCTAATAAATTATAATTTATTCATCTAAAACTGTATTCTAATGTACTTGCGTAGTGAAAAGCATTACTAGACACAAATCGCAGTGTTGCATTGTTTTCGCGCAGTCCGCGTTGAACTTTGCCGTACAAAGATACAGCTCGCGGAAAGTCCTGCTGTAGCTAAAAGGTTAAGTAAAACATGCAATAAACGTTAAGTATGTGGCAGTTGAAGTATGCTATAACTTTGAAAGTGATAAATTGCAATCTGCATACAATAGCGATCGACGAATTCTTCTTTGCGCAGCTGCATTGATTTTTGCCGACATCAAAATCAGTTTACATTTTCAGAGGTGATAGCGTCGATTTTGAAAACGCAGCTTTGAGATATAAGCCAACAGTGAACTTTGCCGTACAAAGATACAGCTCGCGGAAAGTTTTGCTGTAGCTAAGAGGTTAAGTAAAACATGCAATAAATGTTAAGTATGTGGTAGTTGAAGTATGCTATAACTTTGAAAGTGATAAATTGCAATCTGCATACAATAACGATCGACGAATTCTTCTTTGCGCAGCTGCATTGATTTTTGCCGACATCAAAATCAGCTTACATTTTCAGAGTCGATTTTGAAAATGCAGCTTTGAGATATAAGCCAACAGTGATATTAATTCACATAGTGAGGATTTAGTCGCGTTTGTTATAGTGTATTTTGATCCAAAAAATTTCGACGGGAGAAGAATCATATTAATTAAAATTTTATAAAACAAAATGAGAATGATTTACCTTCGCATTGTTCATTTGTCGCGCTGTGCGTTGTTCCGCGAGCGAACGCGGCCTCTCTTATCCAATTTTTGTTTCGCGCAGCGCTTCCAGAAAGCGCCCAGTTTGGAAAGATATCGGAAAGTATTGTCGCGTATCAGAGACGGGAAGCAGCAGAACAACGGTGATCAAGAGCGGATACGTTATGAGCGGCGCGACACTATCAGATCGCGCGTCTAGGGGAAACAAATCTTTTTCAATTACTGAAGGAAACTGCCATGCCGCGTAGGATGTGCCGCGCGCGATGTAATCCCGCTCGTCGCTTATATATCCCGGCTGGCGCAAAATCCTTAGGGAGCCCTCCCGCGTGGTACGTAAGGACGCTCGAGTGAACAAAAACCCTTAACTGATACAGCCCTGCGGTCCCCGGACGGTCGTCAGCAGAATTTCGGATTTCGACCACACACATGGTACTCTTACGCTCTCGGGAGTATCGCGAATGTACCAAGATTTTCTTTTTCCCGATGCACGAGTAAGTTATAAGACCGGCCCGCAGGCACGGGCCTCTGCGTGGTAATTATACGTATTATAATTTACAATAAATCGCGTAGTGTGAATCTCTATTTGAAGCCTAATTTATCCAAATGAACAAAGGGAGCGTTTTACATAGAACGAGATGAATAAAGAGAGATTTTTATAGCAGTCCCTCCGCACAGAAGGAAATAATACTCGTCTTGTCCCGATACAATGGGAATCTCACGAAATATCTGCATTGATAATGGCGGAGGGGCGAGAGGGAGGGTGCAGGAAGAGGTCATGGCAAGAGGGTGTCAATAATGGACGCTCGTAGGAGAAACATCGTCTGCGTCTAATGTTCCGGCAAATTGGTTTCACGAATGCAGCCTCGGCCGCCTCCCGAGAGAGGAATCTGCAAGTACGAGCGGGATCTCTCGTTGCGCCGATTTTTTTCCCGTAAGTACGTCACGTCTCGGCGATACGGGGATATACGTTCGCGTGCCTCGCCGAAATCGGGTTCCGCGGGGGCCAGCCAACCCCGCAACTGAAGGAATTTGTAAGGAGCAGAAGGCGAGGGTAACATACTGCCGAAAGCGCGGAGTATTCTTTTGTGAAGGAAGGTAAGTCGAATTGTTCGACGCACGGGAATCGAAATATAATAGTGATATTGGGGTTCTGTTATTTTACAAATTAATGAAGTTTGTTATCTTATAAATTAATATGTTATTATTAATAAAATTTGTTATTTTGTGAATTAATGAAGTAATAAAAAGATACATATTTGCACCCTTACACAAAAAGAAATATATTTGACACCCTCTTATCATGATCTCTTCTCGCGCGCACACACACACACACACATATTTTCCCTCTACAAAGTATTTCGTGAAATTCCCATTACATCGAGACAAGAATCTGAGTATTGTTTCTGTATGAGTGGAGACTGCTATAAAAATCTGTCTTTGTTTATTTCACTCTGTTTAGAACACTCTCTTTGTTTATCTCAGTAAATTAAGTATCAGATAGAACGGATTGATTAAATTAATATGACCATAACACAATGCGTTTTAGTTAGAGAAAATATTTCGTTCTTTATGAGCAAATTTGAAGCTTATAAGAAGCAGAAATTTTGTTATCTTCAAACAAAAACGTGTTCAGTTTTGAATCACTATCATGTTAATTTATCCATTTCTTTTTTCTCCGTATGTATATAATAAATATAACATCTAAGTACACACACATATATATTTTAACTAAGTTTAGAATTAAAATATGTAGATATGCAATCAGAAAGAATCCGGGAGGAAAGGACTGCGAAGAACATCGCGCATCGATTTGTCTCGCACACTTCGTGCGCTCCCATCTCGCGCAAAGGTCGCGTATAACGAGCCGCGATTTAAATGCGCGCTTCAATCGTCCACAATGGAGACGACGGAGCGGGTATTTAAAGAAACATTTTAATTGCAGGCCGTAAGCCGCTTACGTGTCCCCTCTATCGTACGTTAATAAAAACAGCCCCACCCGTGTATTTTAAGAAAGCGGTCGAGCTGCCCCTGCATTGTGCCTCGTGCGGCAAGTAATTCGACCTGTTCTCGTTTTACCCGGCCAAAAATTGCGCCCAGCTCCTTTCGCTTCGAATATAAAAGAGAAATAACTCTAATCTTCCTTCGATCCACGATCTATGCGATCTAACACTTCGTGTTTCAGAACATTTTTTTCATAGAGCTTTAAAAATCAAATAGAGAATATTCTAACAACGACGAAGATAGCAAAAGGCAGTAAATCCAAGGCATGGATATTAGAGTGCAATGTCGACGAAGCTTTGGTACAGTAATCTACGTTTCATTTTGGCCAACACTTTGTACTTTAACGCGACCTGTTTGCATTTTATTATTGTAATATTACACACTAAGGAAGGTCATTTGTGGCCGAAACGCGTTTGGTAGTTGATGTATTCCATATACTATATTTTGACTATGTATAAAAAATAATTTGTGGTTGCACTCTAATATCCGTGCCTTGGCTCTTACTGCCTTTTGCTATCTTCGTCGTTGCTTGATAACATTATAAAGTCTATACACTATTATACTTTTAATTAAAGAATATTCTTCCAGCAAAAGTATTTCTTTTTCATCGGACGCAATCCCACCCTATAATAAAGAGCCATCCTCGCTCTACGTGTGTGTTTGTGTGCACGCGTACACCTATGTTGTGCGTTTATGTGATCTCCCGTGAGACATCGATTTAAGTTTTCTGTGGTAACCGTCGTGGGCGTCGACGGCTCGGCTGTGAAGAAGGAACGTATAAAGAAGCGACGCCTCTGTAATTGGGCATCAAAAGGCGATATTTTGCCACGTTCGCGCCGATGAACAGGAGCGGGGAAAAAGAATCGACCAAGAACGTAAAACTGGCTCGCTCTCGCGGGCTAGTCGGCTACCACGTAGCCGAGCGATGGAGTGGCTCTTTACGAGGTCGGCCCTACCCCGAATGATGATGGTATGCCTTGTTACCGCGGCCACGGCGCCTAGAAGAGAGAGAGAGAGTCGCACTCCCTCGGGTAATATCGCATACAATTATGTCCACAGAACAGAAGACACACATGCATTATAGATGTGGGGTTGCCCCTGTCCTGCTATACATACCCTTCGGTAAATCATGTCACAGGGTTGGTTAACTCTGCAAATGATCTGAGGCGTTACGCGCCTTGCTGACTCTCCAATTTTCTCTCTTTCTATTTGTTTCACGCTCAAATATTTCAAGATATTAACGTTTTCGCGGATTGCTTTAACGTCTTAAAAGTAACTTTGAAGAAAATCGAATAAGTCTATGTATAAAAGCTCTCTTTTGTAATCCGAATACTACAAATGCGCGCACTGTCGCGTGCCATTAGTTACTTTCCTTCGACGGAAATCGAAGCGATTCACGTCGTAACATATACATAATACGACACTTAGCGAGCGTTTGAAACATACTCGTTATTTCGCATTGATACCCAACGACATCCAGCACACATTGTTCCATATCGATTACTCTTTGCTTATTTTTCCTAGCTGACGGGCATGCCGCCTAACATCTCGTTGGCTCATAGTCTTTGTCCACAACCTTGTTTTAAGATGTAACCCATAAGAAATTGACCAACCACGGTTGATTTTTAGAAGAATAATCGACTGTGCTTGGTCAATTTCTTACGGCTTACGTTTTAAAGCAAGGTTGAGGACAAGGGCTAAGTCTACGCTGAAAAGCAGAGTCTCGCATTTAATATCTCTGCACTTGAAATTATAAGTTTGCGCAAGACTAATACAGACTAGATTTAGAAATGTGTTGATAGTATTGAGATGATATATAGTTCTCACCTATATACACACATCTTCAATCATGTCAACAATTTGAATATAAATAGCAGGGCCAGAGGAAATGCTTTCTCTTCCACGCGCGATTCTTCTTGAGTCATGATCATTCGATTGGACGTTAATGAAAAAAAGTGGTCTTTGAAAAAAAATTAAAAATTTTGTTACATGAAATTAGAAAATTAGTAAACATTTACTTATTTTTTCAAGGTTAGTCAATTATCACTAAATAACTCTAAAAATGTTCTATTAAGTGACGTATTTTATTAAAATAAATATTCTTATTTTTAGCAGAAATAAAAACATTGTGCCATCTATTGTGATATGTCAAAGCTAAAAGGCTTAATGCTGTGATTAGTTAATACTATTCTACCGCTTGTCGGTAAACAAGAGATGATGCAGTAACTAGGCAGGTAGGATATTCCTAAGGCTGTATTATATATATTCTTTGTTAATAAAAAAATAATAAACAGGCTATATTTAATAAAAGTTAGCATTTAGTGACTATTGTCTCTGTCTAGTATATTCTTTTTTATCTATCCATGATCTAAAAATTATATTCTCATTACAGACAATAATTACTAAGTGCTTACTACACGCTGGTTGAAAAAGTCGGTATAACTAGCAGTTTTTCATAGTATCACTCAATAAAACTTCTTTCTAACAAAGAATAGTGCATTAGCATTCGCGGGTAATATTCCTCTAGATTTGAGTAAAAAATATCTATTTAGGATCTATCCAGATCTGTGATGTAAATCTGTGATGTAAAAAGAGACTGTGTGATATAAGAAATATAGAGAAAAGGTAATGCTATTACTGCATATTAATAATTACGCTCGCACAGCAAATAACGCCAATTTAATACCCAATGTTATCATCATAAAGCGGTTATATAACTGTATATTCCGAATAGTACAAAGTTTGTGTCTTAGTAACTTCGGGGAATACGTAGAATAATTTATAATATACGTAAGCAGCATGTCAAAAACATGAAAAAAGTTTATAAAATAAAAAGCATCGAACCGATAAAGATGATTGAAATCAATCCATGATTGAAATAATGAAGACTTTTGGAATAAGAAGTTTAAAACGAGAAACAGAGAGGCTTTAATTACTAACCAAGAATACTTTACACTTTAAAAACTAAGATAGTTACGGTCATGGATTGACACATTTTTTCTTTGACGCATTTGCATTAAATATGCAGCTGATGTGTAATAAAAGAATTATTTTAGAAAATTTTAAAAGGTTTGCTTTTTAGATGTCAGATGTGTTCTAAGACGTATCGAAAGACGTATCGAAAGAAAGTGTGTCAACTTGTATGTCCTCGATTATATCGTGAAATGAATAAATAATGAAACAATATTTTAAAACAGCGCGCGCGCGTCTCGCGCGTGCTAACTAAAGGTTACATGACCTCAAGAATAATACTACACGTAGGTGTACAATAAACGAGTGAATTATAACTCTAGTTCTTAAATACAATCTAGTCACGATATTATGGTTTCTTAGCGAAATATATTGAACTGAGTGAAAAGTGTTGATCGTGCAATTTTTAGCGTCATTGTTCTATTAAGTTTTTATATCGAAAAAACATATTTGTATCATGAAAATGAGATATGCATCTTAAAGAATCTTTAAAATATTTATATTATAATTATACATTTTCCTGTTTAATTAATAATTAATTATCATTGAACTATCTTACAAATAAAAATATGAAAAGAAATCGATAAACAGCACGTCATCCTATCTCAAGGTAAATATAGACGCGTCCTCATAATAGTATTAATGAATATGATTACACAATCTGCTTTGAATTATTGAGTCGTAGAACTATCAAATATGTTGACCATAAAGCGATAAATAACCATCGGCTTTGATTAGAATATTATGTAATATCCAATTTTGATTACATATTAAGTTCCGAAATTAGAATGAACAAAATGTGCAGAATACGATACACACATATTTATATTATAAATAATTAATTGGCATTGGTCTATTTATTTTAATAACGCTTTTTATTTCCTATTTCCTCTTTCCTTCTTCACTTTCACGCTCAAATATACATTTGTTTCGCCGCAAACGCGAGAAGTTTAACAAAAATTAACAAACCTTGACATTTTCCTACAATATTCGTTTTTAATTAATTTCCATATCAAAATGCTATGCTGACCGCAAAATATGCGGATATAAGGATAGAGAATTTAAGATCATTCTCTTCATTCTCGATTTCCTAGCGCGTTTCTTGTAAATCGCGCAGCTGAAATTACTTACACAAACAAAAAATGCTTGCATAAGAATTTACTCGGCAGAGATCATGTGAGGTCAGTATTAATTATTAATGACGCATTTATCCTAGACTTCAGCTCAAGTCTCTAAAGACAGTCGATCAATAGACACGTTCATGCATACTTGTAAGTATTAAGATTGAATGTACTATGCCATCGAATTTCGGTATTTAATTCAATTGCCTTTCATGACACGTGTTATTTTAATATATGTTAAGCTGTTAACTTAGAAGGCTATTAATTAATCTTTATATATATATATATATATATATATATATATATATATATATATATAAATGTAAAAAAAAATTTACACATATATATATGTGTGTGTATATAAATTTTTTCTCACATTTTCTTTATAAGCACACAGAAAAAAATTTGTTTAGATTAACCAAATATCTGGCGAAATATAAACAAGCCAGTTGAAGTTACTACAGTTCTACTCAAGTTAACAATTTCTGGTTAATCAGAAGGAAGATACATGACAGTGTCGAAATCTGGTTAACCAGAAATGTTTAATGGACTAGAATCTTGTTAACTGGAACAGAGAATATTGATAACTTCAACTAAATTTTAGTTTCATATTTCACTAGACATTTAGTTAATCCAACCAAATTTTATTTTTTGCACGTGTTCTATACGTTCTTGTTTGCGTTATCTATATGTATCTTTGTTATTATATAATCGAGCACAGTCGTAAAGAGAAATTTGAAATTATTTGAGTTTATATATTTAAATTGCAACGTAATGTTATTAATATTATGTAATTTCTGTTTGCCGTGAATTCTCAGCGGCCTTCTTTTGATCGTGTGATATCTGATATCGTTAGTTTGAATATCTCGCATCATAAAAAAGTCTGCAAAAAAAAGAAAAAACTTTATAACACACATAACCGACGTAATAAGTGTGTTTAGCTAGAATAATTGCTGTTGTCAACGTCTGAGTATTGGAAATAGTGAATGGGTTTGCAACGAGGATACACGACAATCGGGATTATCGGAAAATAGTGAGTCTGCACAATAGTTACAGTTCAGAAATAGTGACATAACGTGATAGACGCATGCATCGTGAACTATCAGGTGAAGTGATTCAGGAACTATGGCTAGCACGGTAAGTACCAATCGTGGTATACTTATTTTTCTTAACACATTTGTTACCGCCATTTCATTTGAGATCGTGCCTACTACTGCATTTTTTAAAATAATGGTGTAAAACAGACTTAACATATTTATTTGTTACCAAAGAGGAGAGGACCAATTTATTAGGGAAACGTTCCCCACTATCTCATATTTGATTTCTTTTTTTTTACTCAATTCTCTGTAAGACACGCTTATTTTAATAATATAAATATAGAGAAAAATATTTTACTGTCACACATCTACGATCTACTAACGAACACGTTAATTTGTTTATGCAGACATAGAATAAAAAATTGCTGTTGTCGCATGTAAGTCACGTTGAATTCACGCGGTTGTTGAAATCAATATATTACACGTATGTGATTCTGCCATTGAACGTGTTAAATAACAACAATAAGACTGACACAAAGAAAAGATAAGCAGTGCAATTTAAAATGTAAGCGAATTGGCCAATTCGCATTCAATGGTCGCATTATGAAAAGAATCAACGAGAACGTAAGACCATCGTGTTGAAATCCTTGACTGTGATTGATCGACTTACTTTTCTACCTGAGTCTTACTGCTTGCAATTTTTTTCGTGCCTCTTTAGAAAAACTTGCAGTCGGTTGACATTCTTGCATAGATTCGTCTAGTGAATTCTTTTCGCGATGACGGTGACTTCTCGAAGATCAATGCTAAACTTTATCATAAACATGACACCTGTCTCAGTAATCTGTTGACGTAAGAAATATAAGAAGTGGCAATGTTACAGCGGTGATAATTTTCCGCCAACGGATAAGAGATAATGATTTAAATAGTCGGTCTCCAGTAATCAAGATTACGATAGACGATAATCAGAAAATTAATACGTAACTGATGCAAAAAGAGGACATTTCAGCCACTTTCAAATCATATATATATATATATATATATATATATATATATATATATATATATCACATGACCTTTTGTATTCTCTTTGAATATCCGATAGATTTTATCCCGATAGATTTTAGATTTAAATCCCGAAGAGTCGAAATATATCAAAGAAGCTTCTACTGAAAAAAAATCTAAACAATTAAAACTATTTATTCAGTAGCTACTATATATAAAATAACGTATTTACTTATTACTTATATCAATATATTACAATTCGATATTTTCCACCAACCAAAAACAATTTTTTTAAGTGAAAAACTATATATATATTTCTTTTAAACTGTAGTTAAACAAAAATAATTACATTTGAGTCAATATGTTATTAGTACTCAGAAAATAAATAATTTTTGTTTCTTACGTATTTTTTTCTTTTAGTATATTTTACAGTCGCGAAATAATGTAAAATAATATATAAAATAATATATATAAAGCAAAATTTTTTTATAATCTCGCTAACTAATATGTGAAAACGTTATATTATCAATGTGGAGTATATATTATGAACGATCACGTAACTTGCGCTCTCGGCGAGAAAGTAGAATAGCGTGCGAGAATGTGGAAGAGAGGGGAAGGTGGGAGTGAAAAGAGAAGAGAGAGAAAGAGACTCAGGAAGATATCTCGATTTCCTACTTTCCAAATAGCAAGTTACTAATAGTAAAACATACAAATGTACGCACACGTCGAGTACTTGGTAGTATAAATGTGATAACTCGACGAAAGACACGCGATCTTACATGAACCGTTATGTTATTTGTAATATTTTTAAAACCACATATGAAAGAAAGACTTTACTTCACATTTTCTTGCTTCGAGAGAAATCTTTCTCGATTACGTCGTTTCAAAAGCGTCCTAAATGTGTATGTCATTTCCATTTTTAGGAAGAAGTGATGATAAACATTCCAATAGATGATACTAATACTCTAAAGGCAGAGAAGACAAACGACAACGACGTTTGCCTCATTGACATTGAAGAATCGACTACTTCTGAATCGTGTAAGTAGCCTGTTCGAGTTACTATATAACTAATTTTATTTAAAACTAATTTTATTTAAATCCTAAGAAAGATAAAAACTTTGATCAACAATATGAAAAAAATACGTAATCGTTTGATCACACTCTATGAACGTCGAAGTTCAAGAACTGTCTCATATCTACTGCACACAATGCAGTTACCGATTAAATTTTTATTAAAGCAAAACCAAAAGCTCGACGTACGGATCTTCTATTTATGTAGTCTTATTTAACTCATTAATTATTATTTACTAAAATTAGGTACACTATTTCAATCATGTTTGTTAAGTTAAAGAAAGATTTAGTGAAACTAGAGATTTAGTGAAACTGTCAGAGTTTGTATGATATTTTTCAAGCCTATAATTAGAATTTGAAGATGTAATTTCAACATCTGATGTTAAATTAGGTGAGATATGAAATAAGTTATCTACTGTTTCATAAAAAAACATTTATAAATCTAAATTCTTTATGTCTGACATAGAAGAAGAAAAAACAAGATAGAAATCTAATTCCAAAAGTTGTTCCTAAAGTTGTTTTAAATTTGACTAGCATTAAGAAAAAAAAAACATCGAAATTAGTTCAAATTTTGAAGTTGTAGTCTTTTTTGAAATATAAAATTTTATTTGACCCCACTGTGCGCCGCCACGCGGAAAAACATCTATTCCAAAAAAACTACATCAATAACATTGTTTAGTAGCAACTAAATTATATTATTCTCGGAAAATAGCAATCGTAAACACATAAATCTGTCACGCAATTGCTTATAAATAATGAGCAATTTTGTAGTTATTTGCTAGTCACGACTGTCATATGTTCTATACGCTGTAATACATACAAAGTCTTTAATTTAATCAATGCCTTTCAAACACAGTTTGAACGTTTCCGAGTTGCACGCGTATCCGGTTTCAATTATATCATAATCATGTATAATCAAGGTCAAGTTTCTTTCCAGCTGAACTGTGTAGCAATTTTTGTCGTTAGAATGAAACATACGTATGACCTAGCATTGAAGATAAAAAAAAAAACGAAATTCTAGTGCAGCACTAGTTCAGTTAAAGAGGACATAAGACCTAATAAAGAAACAAAAGTCATGTTTTAAAACAGCAACGTGTAACATGACGTACACTGCATAAATATATTTTCGACTTGAAAATGCCTGAGGCAGAACTAGAATCATCGTCACGTGCACATTGAAACTACAAATACGTTTGAATGACGTAGTTGTCAAGTTCTTTATGATATAAAAGTTGAAACATATTTAAACTATGAAAAATTCTTAAAAATTCTAATTCACAAAGAGTGATCTGCGATGTGATAAACGATGTGACCAGCCCGACAAAATTATAAAATCTGAAACAGTCTGAAGGTAAGATCTAAATATTGAAAGATACTACGTCGAAACTCGAGAATTAGCTAGCTTGAAAGTGAGATCTGAACATTGAAAGATACTTCGAAAGATACTGATACGAGACGCGAAAACTTACTAAGTCCGAACAGAAGAGACAGAGAAAGAAGATTGGTTGAATCAACATGACAATGAGAAAACTAAACACGTTGGTTTGAAGGCAACAGAATTTCTCATGACTCAAATTTAGTTCTTAAGAATCAGACATTCTTATTTTCTTTCAACCAAGACGCATTTAGGTGTATTATTGACATTTTAATTCGACTGATTCTTTTTCTTCGTATAAATACCCAAAGTATAATTCTAAACTAACATACATTATGTATTACATATATTACGTAAACATTATACATATATTAGTCAAATTCGAAACTGGACGATTACACGACGTCGTTAAGATATTACACTAAATGGAGGTGATAATTATACTATTTATTTTTCTCAGTTAATCAAGTATAAGATAAAGAATTTGAGAGACACTGTTTTAAATTCCGAGCTATCCCCGCCATCATCATTGCCATCGCCATGGACAGCGCGCCTTTCGCATTTGGTTCGCTTAATCTGCTTATTGACGACACAGTCCTGAATCCTAGAAGCTCGGAACAACACGGCCGGCTTATCGAGCCGGATGCAACAGCAAATCGGCGATAAACACTTGATCGTATTGAATGAATATCCTATTTTGTTCTTATCATCGATTATCGGATAATTATCGGATAATTATCCTTCGATTCGTGCATTAGTAACAATAAAACTTTGCAATTTTATTTTTCCACGATATGTGGAACGATTCTGTGAACACGTCCAAAGAAGATTGTGTGAAAGTGCATATGCAGCCAACGCAGAACGATCATAACGACGGTATGTCTTTGTTTAAGAGATTGCTCGATTAATTTTACAGTTATTTCACCTTTATTACTTTATCGAACATAATCATAGCACGAAAGATTTTCGATCCAGGAATATTAAACAGAATATCTAAGTTCTATGACATTATCTTTCATTAATAAAATTATTCATTAAACTGGCTTATTAATTATTCATTAAACTGGCTTATTAATTTTTCTTAGTTAAAATATCGAGGTACCTACAATTTAAACTGCAAGAAATTATTATCTTCTTCAAGATTTTTGCTAAGGAAAAATTAAATTGTTCAATATTTCATATCAAAGAATCTGCTATTACACAGAGAGAATTATAAAATAAAAATTACTATAGAATTTTATAACTTAGGAACGTATATCGGCATTCTCTTAATTTATCATTTCACCGTTTCATATGAGCTATTTATATTTTAAGAACTAATTTATTATTAAAAAGTTTACTATGTTCTTTAGCGAAATAAATTCTACTCTCTCAGTTTACTGCGTACTGATAAAAAACGTAGTAAAGTTGAAAAGATTTTATATATAAAAAAGCTATATTCTCTCTGTGTACAAAATAATGCGACAAAAGTAGAACATTCTGTGTATATTAGTTACATATTTAAATATCAATATTTAAAGACCAATCATATAATGTGTAATTAATTATATAAACATTAAATCTTATATGTAATTAATTACACATTAGATATAACTAACCTTTTAATAAATTCTAAAGAAAGTTTTAATAATACCCTCACGTCTATCTCTGGAATACCTGTTCTAATACCAGAACCAAGTCACGCAGAAGTTTAATGTCACGCAGGAAGCCTACTTGTGGTTAGAGTTACGAAAAATTAAATATTAAATAACAAATAATGGAATACATTGGAAAATTAAATGTGTTTTACAAACGAATTGCATAAACTTGGAATATGAAACTCTAATGAGGAAAGTGATCAGTAATAAAAAACCTTTCTTTGTTTTTGCCGTATATGTGCGCGCTTAGAAATGACGAACAATTTTTCAAAACGTATATACCTTTCAAGATATGTGTATCCGGAAAAAAGTTTATATATGATCATATGGAAATATATATATAATTGTGTATAAATTTTATCCATATATGTGACCTTACATATTACCATATCTTACCATATCAAATTATATATGTTCATACGTAAAATAAATTGTTGAATAAAAAGGAAAATATAATTTAACTGAATTAAACGTCAGCATCATGGCCTACCATAAACATTAGTATTTATTTCAATTATTTTTACAATAGCATTCTTTTCAATATGGATATATATAATGATATATAATCATATATAGCCATATATGAACAAAATCCATATATGAATATTTTCCCGGATATATATTATTCATAAAGGGAAAATTAATTATTACGGATATACATGAACGATTTTTGTAAAAATTTAGTAGAATAATAAATACAAACAGTAAATACAGAAATATCAGTAGAAATATCTTCATTAATTTTGTTAAAACTCGCGTATTTTGTACATTCTGCGTAGAAACCGATCATTGGAAAAACTCACTCTCATACCGGTTTCTTTACAATCCTGTTTAAGTGCAATAAGTTTAAAACATGACATTTGATTGTGATATTACTTTAGTCTGCTTAAACTTACTTTATGTAAGATTAAAGATAATACGCATCATACACACAAAGAATCTATTATTAATATTAAAATTCTACAATATTACCAAACAATTTGGTCTACAAAATAAATAAACCGGCAAATTATTTTTTTATTTATCGAACTTATATATGTTCACTATCGTAGCAATGCTGTATACGTGAAAACATTATAAAAAAAGTGTATGAAAGAGGTAATTTTCTTCAAAGTACTCAAGTTCTACATTTAAAAATACATAAGATATATTGGAGTTACGATATTAAACATCATAAAATATTGAATTGATTATTTTTCGGGAACAGCTGACCATAGATCGCGATTAAGATGAGCGCGAAAGTAACCTCCAAAGACCAAACTATTACATAGGACATTCGTGAACGCGCGATACGACGATTAAAACAGAGTTAACGCTCATTTTCTTTTATACTCATTCGCACATTCATCGTTTTAACTTTTTTGTTTTAACCTTTTCGACACCGGAAACGTGACCTTGGGCTTTTCCGAATTTGACCCGTCCATCCGCCGATAAGGTCGTTTTATAGTTGCTAAGTCGATAAATATAAATTAAAGAAATTAACACGAAACTGTTTAACATATGCGCTGGCGAACAATAACCTCGCGGTGACTTTATTCTTTCGTACGTTATAAAGAAACGAGAAAAACGCGCAGAACGAGATAGTCGCTCATTAGTGAGTTTTATTTTTTGCATTGAAAAAACATAATTTATAGCTGACGTTAGGTCTCAGCTGACATTACGTCAACTACGCAATTATAGCTCGTGTCCGCAATAAGAAATAATCTCAACAAGAATGTTAATGAAATTCTTCAGATTTTTAATTTCAAAAGAATAATCGAATAGCGAAATATTATTTGTAGCTTAAATACAAATGTAACTTACTGGTATCAAGTCGTTATCGCGAATAGACATAAAAAATTCAACACAGCGTGGAGGATGATTGTTATCAATAGAAGGTGGAACAATATAAACAATAACAATATACTTATAACTATAATATATAACAAGATACTTAACAATATCAAAAGCATAGA